CCTTTTTGCCGTGAAACTCGGTATGCACGATTATGCGTTATCGATGATGGTGGAAGACCTCGGTCGACACGCGACTGCCATTAAATACATCTCAAAACGATCTTCGGCTGAGGTCAGGTTGATGCAAAAGCCTGCTCTGCAGTTCCTAAAACCGACCATTCTAGGCATGCACATTTATAGAGAAGTACGGTCATCTGCTTTTTGAAGCATGTCCGAGTGAAACCGTGGATTTATTACAGGCTGTTATTGAGAAGTCCTCAGGAGGTAGACGTTCAATGATATAATTGTTTGTTTGTTCAGTTGTTAAATAATCTCCCGATTGTAGACAATGTCGACCCAGCGCAGCTTCTCAAGGTGTTTGCCGGTGATTTCCCGAAAGCTGCAGGTTTCATTGAGTTCGCCCTCAAGAAGGTAGAGATAAATACTCTGAAACGGAATGTTTCTGCCTTCACTCCATTTGAAGCTTTACGCACGAATACCTGACATACGTCAACATATCCATAGCATTCAGTTGTCCTAGCTTACATCTGACGCGGCTTTAGGTGTCGGGTCCATCTCGTACTGTTCTGCTCGACGCAATGCTGGAATTGCGGCTGCGAGATTACTCTGAAGGAAAAATCGTGGGTTCATTGTTGGTCTCCTATACGTTTAATCCATTGCGGACCACGTGTTGCACCATGTGCAGCACGGGGTCCGCAACGGGTTGAGCCACTCGAAAATGGATTCGTTATCTTTGATTTTTATTGCCAATTTTCCAAGCAAAAATGTATCAGTAAGCTTTTCCGAGCACATATGTTATCACATGTCGGAAAATTGATAAAATTACTACTAGGTTATTGGTTACTGACAAAGCAGATTACAAAAACCTCCGGAGGTGCAACGGCGGTCCGCAGTGGGTGACCAGTGTTCCCCAACTTCAGGATTTTCGTTTTTTGTATTCTCATTACTTGTACAAGGCGTCTATTTGTCGCAAAATTCTGCATTGCTTGGATAAGCTTCATGAGAGGTTGGGTTAACTATGGGATGGCTTAGGCATGGACCAAGGTGCACACCGAATATGTAGAGCCTATGTACAGGGTTGGGCGGTGTCTGAATCGGAATGACCCAGAAAATGGTTGGACATTGTCCAAGGTCTGCTAACCATAGACATACCCGAATGAACGGACTTCACATCACCCACCATGGGCGAAGCTTATCCACAACTGTGTTCTAGGACGTTCTAATGGCAGGAAAAATGGACGGGGAATAATGGAGGAGGGAGGGGTCATGTGCTCGTTTTAGCCGCGCCGTACACCGGTTTGGGCAGGTGACGTCAAACATGTTTGTGGAGCTGATAGCGACGTAGGGGCGGAAAAGGGGATAGAAGTTTGCGAATTTGAAGTGAATGGTCTATGGCAGAAGGGCGTGGAATAAGTGGCCGGAGCTGAAATCAAAAATCCCAGTTGTCCATACTATCATTTAGTCTTAGGAGGCCCTAGTTAGTGTTGCAAGTCAGGTGATGCTAAAGTTTGCTTATATTGGGCACATTTTGATATTTGAAAACAGATTAGGTTAATATGGTGGGGATCTGGTGAATGGAATTTATTGGTCGTTAACAATGTTTTTTTTTAAGGTTTTCTTTGTTTTTGATTGGCAGTGCAAGCTATTGTTGATGCTATCTACTTTTCAAAGAGTACACCCATCTCACTGGAAGTGGCTGGAACACCTTGAAATTATTTATTTTGTAGACGGATGCTGATTGTTTCAAGCAGTTGAGATTCCGTTTGTTGAAGATGGAAATATTACTCGTGCTCTTCACCTAGCACGCCTATTTCACTGCACTCCCGTCATGCAGCATATCTTACAGAAGTTGGGACGGTGAGAGTTTGACCACGCCGCATTTGCTATCATGTTATTGCTTCGCAAATCTTTCTATTTACAGGAAAAAAGAGTTGCTGTCCGTATCCTTGATGGCAACAAATCACCGCGAAGCTATTGAATTTGTATTTGAGAAGTTGTGTTTCGTGTTTTAGAATGATCTTTTCCCAGAACATGAAGGATGTTGGTGGTCAGTGTGAAGGTGAAGCGTTGTCCACTGATCTCCCTGTTGGATGGGATACTCATTCAGAACGTTTCTGAGATATGTGTATTTTTAGTTTGTTGAGGGTTGAAATTCAGATTTTGGGGGGTGGTGATGGGAAGAGAAAGAGATGGCTTTACCGATCGGTAGTCTCTGTGTGGGATATAGTATGGTTTTTAATTTATAGAACTTTCTGATGGATGAAATAGAGGAAAGTTCGTAGAGGTGGTGCTGTTTTATAGCTGTAACTTGGTGCTCCGAAGGAAAATTCGAGGTAGGGCGGGATGGAGCAGCAAAGATGCTGTTCCCCGAGTTTGGTAGCAAGTTCAGGGCATGTGTTACGACGATATTGGCCCCTAGAAAGAGGGTCGACATGAGAGCCGCCAGTGGAGAGGTGTTCTAATCGTATCTATCGATGTTCTGCCATCGTAATCGTGGACTATCCAAGGGATTGCGTGGTACAGGGCTATCTCAAGTCCGTGCTTATTACGTCAGATAAATATTCCGGAGTAAGCATGTGGCTTGATACATTGGTCAGTTCGGAAGATTGAAGGTGATGTCGCTGAATAAGCCTAGTGCGTGAAGAGGGCCGAAGGGTATCTCTATTGTCCTTATTTCCATCAAATGCGTCAATATTTAAGTATTGGGTTTTGCGTTTTTCTGTTACCATCTAACATCCTTTCAAAGGAATAAGTAATTCTGGAGCCTAAGGTACTCGTGTGCTATGTTTCTGGATTCGAAATTGATTTTCGGTTTTGAGGCAATGGTCGAAAATCTGGAGGCTATCTTTGGGATGCGGCACGCATTCTACTTCCATTTGTACATTCGTAGTGGCGTTTGAATGCGATGTGGCCTATACAATGACTTGCGGGGCCAGCCGATGTACAAGTCAGTGTTTTTATCCTCCCAGACTGGTACCAATTAACCGACCCCGGAGGGATGGAAGGCTTGGTTGGCCCGGGCGACTCACGACCCAGGATTTGATCCCCGGACCGCTCGCGTGGTAAGCATGCCACTTGCCACTACACCACTTCTAGAGGTAAATGCAATGGATTTAGAAAACGCAACTATGAAAGGTAATGCACCACATATGGAAGACGTTCACTTCTCCCGACAGTTTAGTTCAGCGGAGTTGCGGGATGATTGAAGCCTGAAGTTTGGCTCAGGCTTGGTCTTACGCCAAAAGCGAACGTCGTGAAAAAATTGTTGCTCATCGGAGTTGAAATAGAAGTGAGGAAAGGGTGTCCTGGTCAAGGGAAATCCCCATTTTGCCCCATGATTTTGTCTTTGGACGAGCCGCCAACCAAAAGTGGTCCGTTTACACTATATTAGTCCCGATACGGCTGCATACGCAGATATTCTTTATCGAATTGAAAAGCAGCACTATATTACGATAGTAGTACCTGAGATCACTACTCCAGTCCTCCAGTAGGAGGCGGGCCGTAACACGGCGGATGACGCTCATAAGGGTTGGGGTTAGCTACGTGACGATGTGCATGCCGTTCGTCAAACGAAACCTCTTCTCGTTTCCTTATGGTAGGCACACCTGTCCTTCTTCTTTATCCATTTTATCGTGCCATCCTTTATTCCACCTCCCGAGTTGTGGGAACGCTAGGCAGCGCCGCAGTCACTACGTCTTTTCCTCTGCCTTTTCGCGTAAACGTAACGCGTTAGATATAGTAAATTGTCGTTTCGCCTTCACTGGGCAATTTCTCGCGACCAGGTGTCAATTTTTTCTCTGAGGAAGGGCTCACAGTCGGCGTTTTCGTCGCCTAAAGCTTTGAAGAGTTTTAGCATAAAGTGAAGGAGACTTTTCTCCTGTTTTTTAATGTTCTACTTCTTTCATGGGCGGAAGTGGTGTAGTGGCAAGTGGCACGCTTACCACGCGAGCGGTCCGGGTCGTGAGTCGCCCGGGCCAACCAAGCCTTCCATCCCTCCGGGGTCGGTTAATTGGTACCAGACTTGTCTGGGAGGATAAAAACACTGACTTGTACATCGGCTGGCCCCGCAAGTCATTGTATAGGCCACATCGCATTCAAACGCCACTACGAATGTACAAATGGAAGTAGAATGCGTGCCGCATCCCAAAAAGGGATTGATCAACGGCAAATGCTTTATCCTTTATCCTTTTATTTCAGGGTTTAGTCGGTTTCGAGATTGCAGCTGACGGAAACTCCACTCTGGTAGTGTTGGAAATCCTATCGCGTAGCAGCACTTGAAAGTGGCAGCAGTTAAAAGATTATGTGATCAGATGGCTCGATGCACAGAACAAGCAGGTCAGTCCTGTCTAGAGTGTCCTCATATTTGTGCTTAACCACACATGGTCCTAGATCGAAGCAGATCGGAAAGCAATCGCAGAAGGTGAGCGCCGTGTGGAGGAAATTGATAAACAGATGGAATCGCTGAAGTTCAAGTTTGTTCATCATTGTTTGGATATCGTTTGAACCTCAGCTGATTTACAGCTTTCCTTCATTTCAGTGTGCAAGTGCTGCAGGTGAACAAGTGCAGTGCTTGTGATACTGCACTTCAATTACCGGCGGTGCACTTCCTTTGTCGGCACAGTTACCATGTGCATTGCTTTGAATCTTACAGTGATAAACCTGATGTGTGCCCTGCTTGCGTGGGACCGATGTCCAGGTGAGGATAGTTAGATTCGTTAAGAAGAGAATGGCTGTCTCTCTAGTATCGATGCGTGGGGCACTAACCAGGAAAGGCATTCCCATGGAACTTTGAGATGAGACCCAGATATATCGATAGAGCTTCAAACGCTGATTACAAATATGGAAACTAAAACTGCAAAATGAACCTGCCAAGGAAGTTGTGAGCAGTCAAAGTTGGCTGGAAGTAAAGCATTACACTAGCCTCCAGGCTTTCAAAGTCGCCGTGGAGTAGTGGTAGTGCTCTCGGAATTTGCACTCCAACGGGAGGAGAGCTTATGACCTCCAGGGTGAATAGCGAGGGCACCACCACTGCTCCGCGGCGACTCTGAAAGCCTGGAGCACGGTGTGCAATGCTTTACTTCCAGCCAACTTTGACTGCTCACAACTTCCTTGGCAGGTTCATTTTGCAGTTTTAGTTTCCATATTTGTAATCAGCGTTTGAAGCTCTATCGATATATCTGGGTCTCAATTCAAAGTTCCATGGGAAGTTGAATGCCTTTCCTGGTAAGTCCAGGAATTAATGTGACTTTTCTTTGCGATTCTTTGATCAAATAGTCAGTTCTGTTCATCTTCATCTCCTTGTGTCCCAGGACTAAACTGATGTTGCTCTTGCACTGGAATGTGAAAGTATTGGTGCGGAATGGACCAGCAATAAAGGGAAAAGGAAGAAATCTGACGGATGCGCTCAACTTAAAGGAATTATCCACAGGAAATTCATGGTTCTATCTCAACCATGATTCCCTGCCTCGGACCCATTAACAGAGAACGAGTAAGAGCAAAAAATTGTATTTTGTTTTGGTAAACAATTCAGAACCAGAAGGTCTGTTACGCGTTCAAATTTTTGCCATATATCTGTTACAAACGTAGACGACGGCGTCAATCCCACTTGGTTCTCGGAGCGTCTTCCCTAGGAACTTTTTGGCATTTTCCGCCTGTGGCAACAACATTTCTATCTTCTACTGCATCCTACTTTCGATCGTTTTGTCTTTATCCTCCGAAATCCAAACTCTTTATCCCGATACTTTCAATGTATCGTCGCCTGGTACGTAGCTGCCCCAAAGCGCACTTCTTTCCATACATTCCCTTGTCTCTGCCCGCAACCGTCACCCAGAAGGTGGTTGTGGGCTTGTTCTCGTCGGAAAGAAGGAGAAAGTGGGAGACTGAGCGCGGAGAGGACTGTATGAGATGAGAGAGCGTAACACATGAAAGGTGTCAGAAAGAGCCTGCTAGGGGTAGAAGAACACTTAA